ACCTGTGCGAATGCTCCATGCCACCTTCCTAACCTTTGCCTGATACAGTGGTTTTCATTTCTGCCTCTCGGAAGCCCAGCACTTCTTCATGTGCTGTTGTCCTTTGTGCCTTCCTTCCAGTAAATACCCTGTCGTTTTTCTCTTGATTTCTAGTCTTTTTCTTGTTGATTTGCAGGAATCCCCACTTACTCCTAATTATATAATCCATGTTAGCACTAGATTGTGTGTGTGTGTGTGTGTGTGAGAGAGAGAGAGAGAGAGAGAGAGAGAGAGAAAGAGAGAGAGAGAGAGGGAGAGAGAGTGAGCGTGAGCGCGAGCGCGAGCTCTCGGATTGTTGCCTGTTTACAGTCCATGGTGTCCTTCATTGAACAGAAATCCTCCCTTCAGCTCTGGCCGAACCTGCCAGTGTTTTGTCCTATCACCTGTGCAGTTGGAGTTGTAAAAGATCGTCCTCACCCCAAGGCAACAAACATAAGCTCCTGTGTGACCTCCTGTTGGCTTCATAGTCACCCCGTGACCCTGGCCCTCAGGTTCTTCTCTCACCCTCCTCTGCACTGCTCTTCTCAAAGGCCCCATATCCTGGGGCCCCATCCCACAGGCCCCACATACTCATCTTCCCCTAGAAACACTGCTTCTCTGGCTCATTCAGCCAGGCATTTCCTCCAGCTCTGCTGACTGTTCTCCAGCACAGCCTCTGGTTTCCAAACTTGGGGCTACACTAACACCCCTAGAGCATAAACCCTCAGGGGCCTCACAACTGCTCCTGACATGGATGTGTGTGTTGAGGTAATAGCAGAAAAACATTGAGTTAGCATACAGCAAGATGTTGTTCAAATGTACCTGATTTTATCTACCAGCCATTTTCTAAACATGTCGAAGCAATCAAAGACATCAGCATCATGAAAATGCTCCTTTCAAAAACCAAAAAAAATAGTGTGTTCTGAAGATGGAATTCCAGGATTCTTATCCCACCTAATCACTTACTAGCTGTGTGATTTGTAAGCAACTTATGAACCTTTCTGTGCCTTAGGTTTTTCTAGTTTAGCTGGGAATTATAATGGTGCCCACCTGTTAGCCTTGTTCTGAGGATTAAATGGGAGCCTCCTGATAGTGTGCTTACCTAAAACAGTATCTGGCTCATAGTAAACATTATTTCTATAAGAATTTTAGTCTTGTACTTTCTATATAGTTTTGCTTGATAATTATATTTCTAGTAATCAGAGTATTTGAATTTGTTTGCATAATTATTGATCAAGCAGGTTTCCATTTACTGTATTTACTTTGAATTCTTACTTTAGCAATTTGTGGAGAATATGCTGTGAAAAACCCCAGAAATATTTACATGGCAATCCTATCTAATAAAGAGGTAATATGCAAATTGACCATCACTCCAACACACAAGCTGGCCGCCCCATGTGGCCACAAGATGGCTGGCAGGGGAGGGGTGTTGGGAAGGACCAGCCCTGCAGAGGAGGGCAGTTGTGGGGGGGACCAGCCCTTCAGGGGAGGGCAATTGGGAGACCAGGCCTACATGGGAGGGCAGTTGGGGGCAACCAGGCCTATCGGGGAGGACAGTTAGGGGCAACTAGGCCTGCAGGGGAGGACAGTTAGGGGCGTTTGGGCTGGCAGGGGAGGAGTTAGGCGTCTATCAGGCTGGCAGGGGAGTGGTTAGGGGGTGATCAGGCTGGCAGGCAGAAGCAGTTAGGGGCAATCAGACAGACAGGCGAGCAGTTGGGAGCCAGCAGTCCTGGATTGTGAGAGGGATCCCAGATTGGAGAGGGTACAGGCTGGGCTGAGGGACACACCCCATCCCTGTGCATGAATTTCGTGCATGGGCCTCTAGTTAAATATAAATACATATTTACATATAGAATATAATCATCTAGCATTTTTGTTTTGGAAATGTTGGACTATTTCAAACTATTTCATCTTTATGGGAAATTGTCAGGCTAAAGTACATTATGATTTTGGAAAATCTTGTTAAAATTCTATGCTATACTATTTTCTTCTGTTCCTTATCAGTCTAAGCCATGTTCTCAGAGATAGGCACTGCAAAATTACAAAAATCACTGAAGTGGGATGATTAATCTTTCATTTTGGTAATTTAGGTTTTCATATTTGTGCCCCTTTAGAGGAATATTCAGAAAGTAAATTTTATGCTTGAAATTTTATAGAGCTCCTTTTTATTTTATTTTAATAAGTTATGAAATGCAGAGCTCCTGAGATATGGTAATATTTTGATTTTCTGACATGTTGTCAGGAAATTATGTATTCCAGACAAGTGTGTTTTTCAGGTGTTCTCCCTACCCCCAACCCCCAATATATTTCTTCCTTGTCTCCTGAAGCAGTGCATAATGCATATAATAGAAAATTTTCTTGGTAATGCAGGGTCATCCTGAGGAATTTTTATTATTATCCTACCCAGTGACACAGTGCTCTCCCCTGACTCTGTTGGAATATGTGACCCTCCTTGACCATGTACAAGATGAATCCAGAGAGCTGTCTTTTTTTTTTTTTTGAAATCTCATGTCTACTGTTATTCCTCACCACTGGCAATGTGCCTACGTCTAGAAAACCAATCCTCTTTATTTGTTATTCTGACTGCAAGCTATGCTTGCTAGGATTGTGTCTAAAATAACACTAGACTAGAGCTTGAGTGAGGACTTGATGTTTTCTTCTCAAGTGCAGTTCAGGGGATACAGGTGGTGCTAGTGTAGATTAATGGGCTACTGACTCCCATAGAGGGCTCTACTATAGGAACTGTTTTTGATTTCTGGTACACTATTTTAATATACAATTAAAGGACCTATATCTGTAATATTTTAATATATTACCAAGTGAATAACTTGGTCATATATTACACAGATAATTTTGGGTAGATTTACTGAATCTGTAAAAAGGAGGAATAGAATTCGGAGTTGATAAATTATAAATCTTAAATATAATAGTGATTAAAAGAGAATTGCAATGCAGGTCATGGAGATTCTTTATTCCTGGAGAAAGTTCAAGGTATAGCTGGAGAATAACTTTATTTTAGGGAATTCTTTAGTATGGAGGTTTTATGGGTCAGTTGTCCATTTGAGAAGTCTTTGGCTTTGTCTCTGTTCTTTACTTCAGATATAAACATTGATGGATTCAGTCATTCAGCTTCAATAATTATTTGTGAATTTCTTTTCTATATTAAAGGTACTATAGAGGTGAGCAAAGCAGAAAAGGCCTTTGCCCCACTAAAAAGACGGGAGTAAAATGATCACAAATAAATATGTATTTATCGTAAAAAGTCTTATGAAATAAAAGCTCATTTCTGGGTGCTGTGAATTTAAATATTAGCCAGAGGAGATAATTTTATTGGTAATTCAGAGATGAACTGATGCTCAAGTTGAGATCTGAAAGGAGAAGGGAAACTAGGAAAAAGGAACCCTCCTGAGAGAGTGAATAGCATGGGGGAAATTCTTGGAGATGGGAGAGAGATTGGCACATTGTGAGAGCTAAAAGAAGGTCAGTGTAACAGTAATGCAGTGAGCAAGGAAAAGTGTGTTAGCAGATAAAGATGGCCAGAGATGTAGGTGTCTGGTCATAAAGAACCTCAGAGGCCATTGTAAGGATTTTGAATATTTTTCCTAGTATAAACACATTCAAGTTTTAAGTAGGGGAATGGCGTAATCAGAGTTAAGTTTTTTTTTTAAATATGTTTTTATTTCAGAAAGAGGGAGAGGGAGAAATAGAAGCATCAGTAATGAGTGAGAATCATCTATTGGTTCCATCCTGCACCCCCTCTCCCTACTGGGGATTGAGCCAGAATCTCAAACTATGACTTCTGGGTTCATAGGTCAAGACTCTAACCATTGAGCCAAACCAGCCAGGACTAGGAACCATTTGTTGAATGTAAATCTGTGATTGGAGTTCTAAATTGATTTGATTTAGTTTGGTTTGGTTTGAACTAAACCCACAGTTATATCTTCTGTGATTTCCAGTTTTGGTTCCCTTTAAAAGAAGCAGGAGTTTAAAGATATCTGTGAATGCCTTTATGAAGCAGAGACAGGGATGAGAGCAGAGAACTTTCTATTGTTTTCCTTTTTATTTCAATTTTTACCTATTATGTAGAGCCAAACTTCTTAAAATTCAAATTTTACCAGCTTATGTAATATTTAGTTGAACTATATCATTTTATAACAAATAAAACTGGTATTAGCAGATTTGGAAACACATACAACCAACTTCTGGCATAGATATTATTTGACTAGAGGGTGATACCAGGAATTAAATTTTGTATTGGCTGCAAGCATTCAGTGTGCCATGGTCCTGAGTCAGTGTCCTTTTTTAGAGGAAATAGAAAATGTCAGCTAATCCAGCAGTCAGGTGACTGGAGAATAGAGTGCTCTTCCTGGAAGTTGAATTCACAGGACAGGCCTTGTGATGTGGGGGCATAGGTATGGAGCCTCTGAAAGATGTCTCCACATTTCTGGTGTAAGCAACCATAAAAAGAAGGAATTATTTATCAAGATGGGTTGGTAGATGGGAGATAGGATCCAAATGTAAGTTTAAGCATAAGATGCCTGGAAGACATTCAGGTGGCAATTTTATTTTATTTTATTTTTTTAAATATATTTTATTGATTTTTCACAGTGAGGAAGGGAGAGAGATAGAGTCAGAAACATCGATGAGAGAGAAACATCGATCAGCTGCCTCCTGCACATCTCCCACTGGGGATGTGCCCGCAACCCATGTACATGCCCTTGCCTGGAATCGAACCTGGGACCCTTCAGTCCGTAGGCCGACGCTCCATCCACCGAACCAAACTGGCCCTGGCCAGGTGGCAATTTTAAATAGGCCATTGGCAACGCAGCCCTAGAGGTTAGAGAGGTCATGGAGAGCTTTTCTTGAGGAGCTCGAGGGCTTGAAGAAGGTACAGTAGCCCAGGTGCTAGACTGGACTATGCAGAACATGGAGTCATATTGGCTGGAGGCCATGATGGGAGAGGGAGGGCTGAGTCATGCTTGAGGCGGAGTGCTACAGCTGCAGAAATGGTGCTGATTGTCAGGTGCAAGGGTCAAGGTGAAGCTCCAAATGCAAAACCTAATCAGGAAATCACAGGAATACATAATTAGGAGATAATGAAGTACGTCAAGAAACAATTAAGGTAAAGCCATCAAGAGTAAGACTGTGAAAAACACCAGTGTGTGAAAACGCCACTTTTGTGTGGCACTGACTGGACAGGGTGCAGGCCAGCGTGAGAGCTCTTGCTACACAGTCACCCAGGGATAAACATTAATTGATCTTCAATGGACTTTTCATAATGCTACCTTGGTGCAAGGATATGCTTGTAATCAATGGCATGCATTTATGGACAGCCTGTGTTAGGGGTGTTAAGCTAAAAAAAAAAAAAAAAAGCAATTTTGAATTCCTATTAGGGACTAAGATACTGACCTTGGCCTGATTAACATGTTCTGTAACAGAATAAACAAACTTGGATCCTACCAATTTATTATCTGCATGCACAACAATACTGATTTATTTTTTTATCACCAGCGCCCTAGATTCATATTGATGTGCGAATCATCCAATTGTGTTGAATTCGTATTGGAAACACAACATGTTTAGAAACTGGTGAAAATATAATTAGATCTGAAAGTATTCTGTCAATCAAAATGGATATTGTGCTGTTTTACCCAGCTGAGTTAAGAGAGGCAAATTGTGGTAAGTAAGGAAGTGTTTATTTTTAGTCGATGAATAGAGCTAATCTGGCCTTTCAGTGTAGGGGTGTTGTGTTGTGATATGAGAGAGAATTAGGCTTCCTGGTCACGTGATGGCTGTTAAGTAATTTCAAACACACCAGACTGAAGATTCTCATTGATCTCCCATTTCCTGAAAGACTGGAGAGCTGAATCTGGGTATCTTTTCTTCTTGAAGAGGCAGTCTCTTAAGCATAGTTTCTTCCTCCTGTTGGGGATATTCATATATAAAATATTAAAATTAAAAGTAGCAACCACTGATTTTGGGATGTGGGGGGCTTGATCCCTTTCCCACATAGTGCATTTCTTAAATGTTTTAAGCATTAATGTGTAAATATTTAATGCTTATTAATTTTTTTCTTTAAGCATCTGTTTTAAAAACATCCCTGAAGAAATATTCTTATGTATCAGAAATCTATCAACTTCTCATGTTTATAATGCAATTTTTTTTCATTTTATATTGAGAAGGAGCCAAGTGCTTTATTAAGAGGTACTGTATTCTCCCAACAGCTACTGTCTTTTTTCATTCCCTGCCTCAGGGCCTGGTGCTCCCATTTAGTCCCTTGCCAAAGCCCAAATCCTGGGCATTCTCCTTGCCTCCTCCTTTCTCCTTCTCACCATGGAAGTCCTTCTAGATTCTGCTCAGTGCTCTCCATCATCTCGATTGCCTCTACTTAATTCAGCCCCTGTCTCTCTGCCCTACATCATTGCAGCAGCTTTCTGTGTTTTCTCTGCCACTGCTTTTCAATCCATGCTCCCTGCTTCAGTCAGCATGATGTATAATCATGCCATCTTCCCGCTTCAAACATCAGTGGTCTTGCCCTTGGGATAAGAAATATCTTAGCATGTTTTATACTGTATTTCAAGGCCCAACTTTCTATTTCTTTAGCTTCAGACTCTCACCTCTCACACCCTCATATTCTAAGCTCAAGGCACACAGGGACTTAATATCTGTTTATAAATGTTTCATGACGGGATGGCCCCTAGCCTTCTCACATTATCTTCATTTGACTTAGAACACCATCTTCCTACCTTTCAGTTCTTAATGTAGATGCCACTGCACAGAGGAAGTCTTCCCTGAGCCCCACGGATGAGGATTGGTATTCGTGCCACACATTCACGTTAAGGCCATGTAATCCTTTTGGGGCACTTGTTAATTCTTTATTGCTGTTTCATATTGACTTATCTGTACCTCCTAGTAGACTACAAGGGAGGAGACCATACCTGTTGTTCTGATTATCTACTGTCACATGTTTTAGGTTGGTTATGGTAGCACCCCACTTCCAGAAATCAAAACCGGGTCCAGTTACTATTAAAAAGACACACCTTGAAACTTAGTGGCATAAGTTTTGTATAGGATCGATCATTCTGTATGCTCATGGATTACATCATCATAAACTTGGGCAGGGCATTGTGCAAAAGTGGGGATGGTCTTTCTTTGCTCCATGGTGTCAGAGGCATGAATTAGAAAGACATAAAGGATAGGGGCTGCTTTAATGGCTGCAGGATGGAATCATCTGAAGGATTCTTAAGTTCTTTACTTTTTACAGAGTCCAATTTATCAGCGTTTCATAGTGTCGCTAGTACGTTTGGTGCCATATCTAAGAAGCCATTGCCTAACCCAAGTTCATGGAAACTTACCCCACCAGGTTAATGTGATAGTCTCCACATACTTGGCCTCCGTCCACATTGTTTGTGCAGGAAAAAAAAATCTTGCAACTCATCACTATTCTTACCTTTATATACTTTTATTGATTTTAGAGAGAGGAAGGGAAAGGGAGAGAGAGAGATAGAAACATGGGTGAGAAACATTAATCGGCTGCCTCCTGCCCACCCCTTCCTGGGATCAAATCTGCAACCCGGGCATGTGCCCTGACCAGGAATCAAACCATGACCTCCTGGCTCATGGAACGATGCTCAACCAACTGAGGCATACTGACCAGGCACTTTTCTTACTTTTAAATGGAAAACACACACCAAAAGCTAGTTATTTCCTGGTTTTGGTATCCACCAATCATTATTTCCTTGAGAAGTGCTTGGAAAGCAGCTCAGCTAATTCAGTCAGAAGCATCTGAGGAATGTGTACGTGTGCAGAGTTCTGTGTGTGAGTGGGATGGTGTTTCCCAGACAGGGATACAGTTATAATGATATTAATAATGCTACAAACCACCTGCTTAAACAACCTCATTAAATCAAGCAGTTGTGTAATTTGTGTTGACCAGCTATTAAATAGACTCTCCGAGAAAGCTTATCTGTTTTCATTTATAGGGAAATAATACCAGAAACAAGATCCTAATATCTAGTGTTAGCTTTGGAATTGACTGTATAAGTTAGGGTTCACCCCCCCCCATACAATTAAATACTATGGCTAGCTTAAACACATAAATAGCTATTCCCACTTGTAGAGTTTATTTGAAGTTTATGGTGTGGTTTCCAGAACTGAAAGGAATATTGCAAATCAGGCTTCAGACTGAGTGAAACCAAGCATATGTATGTAGCTCTTGGGAGTGGGAACACTTTGATAATCGTTCTCTGGCAGTTTCCTAGGCTACGTGAACGCAGGTTGTTTACTCTGCCCTTGCATTGACTTGCTGAATTTCTAAGGGCCAGTATTTCTGCTTTGCCCCTCACACCCCACCTGTAAAAAGATCCATGATGAGACCTTTAGACCCCCATGGAGTCTGTAGAGGGAGAGAGTCTCACCCTGAGTTACTGCTACACCAAGAAATCACACAGGGAGGGAAAGTTGTTTTCTAAGGTAAAACTGGATATTGTTAGCAAAGCAGATGCCTCCCAGGCAGCTCAGAGGTCAGAGCTGTCCACTATGCCAGTTGTTTTCATAACTTTAAAGCCTTGAAACCAGCCTGGCTTTGCATAATTAGTTCTGCTTTTGCTCACAGAGCCTCTTTAAAAGTGAGAATAACCATAATAGAGCTTAAACTAAGTGAATCTATGTGTTAGAACTTGCTTTATAGTGTCATTGAGTAGAGTCAATATGATTTTTATGCTTAGCACAATACCTAGCAAATAAAGATTTGATTTTAAAACAAGCGTTGTCTTTGAAATAAAAATTATTTTAGGTTTGCTTCCAGTTTCAGTAATGGATTTGAGGATAGAACTACAAGAAAGTCTTATAAAAGTGAACCGCAATCTAAAATCCAGTATTAGTAGAACAATTAGAAAACTTAGTTACAGTCTCAACAGATAGAGGTTTTCCTCTGTAAAAAGGAAGAAACTCTTACCTTTTGCATGGATGTACCTAGAGATTACACTGCAAGGTAAAATAAGCCAATTAGAGAAAGACAAATATGTACCATGTCATCTCACTTATATGTGGAATCTAATGAACACAGTAAACTGATGAACAAACTAGAACCAGAGACACGGATACATGGTATAGACCAGCGGTGGCGAACCTCTGACACGTGTGTCAGAGGTGACACGCGAACTCATTTTTTTGGTTGATTTTTCTTTGTTAAATGGCATTTAAATATATAAAATAAATATCAAAAGTATAAATCTTTGTTTTACTATGGTGACAAATATAAAAAAATTTCTATATGTGACACGGCACCAGAGTTAAGTTAGGGATTTTCCAAAATTCTGACACGCTGAGCTCAAAAGGTTCGCCATCACTGGTATAGACTGATTTGTCAGAGGGGCGGTGGGTGGAGTGAATGGCATAAAAGAAGGTGAAGAGAATAGCTGGAGAACATATATGCATAGCCCATGGACACAGACAACAATGTGCTGAGGGCCAGAGGGAGAGGGGCAGGGTCTGGGTAGAGGGGGGCAAAATGGGGGAAATCTGTAATGTCAACAATAAAAATAAAATATAATTTTAAAAAGAAGAAGAATCCGTAGTTCACATAGCACAATAATCACTATACAGGTCTCAGATTTGGCTCAGAATGTACCCAGGGCCTCCTCAGAGGGTGACCGTGTCTCCTTTGGGCTCATTTGGGAGAACACACTGCAGGCTCTGACTCCCAAAAGAGAAATCTGGAAATGTTTTTGGTAGAGAGCATCTTTGAAATACATGTATATCTCCCAGTGGGCAGCTTAAAGATGGGAAATGCTCTCATGGATCTAAATGGTCTTTTTGCTCAAAAGTCACCTGCAAATAAAATTAATTCTGCATATAACAAAAGGAAACCATGGATTGTTTAAGGATGCCAAGATATTTCAACGGGGAAAGAAGACTCCAACAAATGGTGCTGGGACAACGAGGCATCTACATGCAAAAGAATGAATTTGGACTCCATATGTAAAAATTAACTCAAAATGGATCATCGACCTAAATGTAAGAGCCCCAACTGTAAAAGTCTTCAAAGAAAATCTAATAGCAACATTTCATGATCTTAGGTTAGCCAGTGATTCTTAGATATGACACCAAAAGTACAAGCAACAAAAGGAAAAGTAGATAAATTGTACTTTATCAAAATTTAAAATTATTGTGTTTCAAAGAACATCATTGGAAAGGGAACCAATGATCCATAGAATAGAAGAAAATACTTGCAATTCATATATCTGATAAGAGTCTAGTATCCATATTATATAAAAAACTCTTATAATTCAACAATAAGATAACCCAATTAAAAATAGGTAAAATATTTGAATATATTTTTCTCCAAAGAAGACATACAAATGTTTAATAAGCACCTGAAAACATTATTAGTCTTCAGGAAAACACAAATTAAAACAGCAATGAGATGCCACTTTGCACCCACTAAGATGGCTAAAATAAGTAAGATAGACAATAATAAGTATGTGAGTACATGGAGGTATTAGAACCCTAAATCGTTGCTGGTGGGATTGTAAAATGGTGCAGTCACTTTGAAAAACAGCTTAGCTGTTCCTCAGAAATGTTAAATATCAAGTTATCATGTGACCTCACAATTCAACTCCTAGGTATATACCCAAGAGAAATGAAAACTTATGTCACACAAAAACCTGTACGCAAATGTTTGTAGCAGCATTATTCATAGTATCCAAGAAGTGGAACAACCCCTATATTTAGCAGTTGATGAATGGGTAAGCAAAATGCGATTTATCCATACAGTGGAAGCTTATTTGATAATAGAAAGGAGGGAAGTAGTGATACATACTGCAATGCAGATGAACCTTGAAGACATTATGCTAAGTGAGAGAAGGCAGTGACAAAAACCATATATTGTATAATTACTTATATGAAATGTTCTGATTAGG